TTTGATAAGGACATACCTACGTTTACGTTATGCTTGGTGCAACGACTTCATTTCACTCCCTCACAGTCCGGAGTCCGGTTGCATTTTGGGATGAGAGAGTTGATGAAACTGTTTTTGCAACCAAACCATCGCTGGAGTCATTCATCCCGCTGCATTATAAAGCAGAATTCAGTAGCAACTCTAACAAATGTGAGGAAAATATTCTTGTTGATTTCGTTACCAAATAACATCTTCTTCCAAAATTCTTGTGAGATTCATTCGAAAGGCTTCAACACAAAACCGATGTATTGAAACACAGACCTCCATTGCCCTAGGATTGCTTTCTGACGACTATACTTCCTGAAACAGCGATTCAGACAGCAGTTTCCAGGCACATTTTATACTCACCACCTTTGACATGAAAGCCTTATTCTTCATTTGATCTAAAATTTCTGTGCTTCATTAATTTACAATCTGTTATCTGCGTACATCTGACCTCCTTCACTCGTCATATCATGTGCCATTTCTGTTAAGCTGCAAATAAGACGATTAGCGTAGTACATTCCAGCTCCATTCTTTGCCATCAGTATATCCTGAGTCTGTTTATCCCTGTTTGGTTTTTCCAATTCTTTCTCATCAACCAAGGTACCGCTATGACATCTTATTGCCGTTCCTCCATTGCAGAATATGACGTCGTTGATTATCACAATTGCCCGATTACTCTGGGTGAAATTCCTACCACCATATGCTAGGATGACTCTTGAAATCAAAAACGAAAGGACCGCTGACACAGGTTAATTAGTTGACCATTTCTGACTTCCTGGGTCAGACTTCACAGCCATCAAAATGCTTCAGATAGCGAATGATTCCTCAAAGACCAGATACGGTTCTGAAAGACACATTTTATCATAAATAGCTTTTTATTGTCAAAACAGACTTCAGTCGTTCAGTTTCGAAAGCACTTATACAAATTTATCCTCTTACATCAGATGTTTCGTTGTTCAGTGGCAGAAACTCGAACCAATTTTGCGGAAATGCCCATCGCTCAAATTAAACCCTACTTGTCTTATCTACGTCATCACTATGATAATCAGATTACCATCTGGATGAAACTGAAGAAATCTTTCACTCAGTGTCATTGAACTCTGCCGCGCCTGTTTATTAAAATTGAAAACTTATTGTTTCGTACTACTGTTACGATAGAACAAAGTCACCGAAAAAGAGATTACTTCTAATAGGTTGACTTATTCATGCAAAAAGATACCAGAAAGAAATATATAGAAGCTGTTTAATGATTCATAAACAGCTGCAAAGCCGCTGTCCAGTAGCCAGATGGATTTATGACCTTGATCGTTGAGATACGTGAAGAACCTTTCGAATGTCGATGACGAACTGCGACATCTGTCGTTCATGCTCTTCAGCTAAGTCTCGTAACGTTATAATTTAAATACCCTGCTTGAAGACTTTTCACAGTAAAA